TAAGTATTTTGTATCTCAAAATGTCGTTCGTTCAAGACCTTTTAAGTACATTGCTTTTTCTTTTTAGCTCCAAGCGAAGTCTGCATCTAGTAATATTTAAACAGATAGAGACGTGATTAATATTTAAGGCCACAAAAGTGGCTCAACCTTACACAAGTACCTAAATTGCATCATTCTATTTAAACTGTTTAGTGTGCAATAATAGCGAAGACATGACAATTCTTTGTTTAATGTTCCATATTTACTATAGGTATGCTAGTTCAGTCAAACAAATATTTACTACACTGTGTTTTACCTTATTTTTATTATTTGATACATAAAAAATAATAAAGCTTATTTTTACTTTTTTCTGATTACTAGCGGCTTACCCTCACTTCTCTCGGGTTCGCCTCTAGACAAACAAAAACAAATTTATCCCACGGGAACTGTACATTTTTCCGGGATACTAAGTAGCTTATTTGTTATTCTGATGTATGAACTATATTATTGTAGTTTCATTAAAATCCAATTAGTAGTTTTTGTGTACTAAACTGTATAAGTTACTATAGTTTTTTATCTATCCCACGGGAACTCTTTAATTTTCCGAGATGAAAAGTATCTAAAATGTTGACTGGGATATAAGATACCACCATGCAAAATGTCATTTAAAGCGGTCCAACGGTTTCGGAGATTAGCCCGTACAAACACACAAACAGAAGAGACACTAAAATTTTGATCTATTTCTCTTCTTACAGCCCCCTGACTCGATTTTTAGCATTTTTTATGTACAGACATTCGACCTCTACAGTTTTATTATAGTATAGATGTTAAAAATACCTACGCTGGATATTGACGTTATATATTTTCCTGGCACTGTTATTGTAGAAACATAATTTAAAAATAGTACTTCGTAAGTCATAATAACTATTAAGAGTTATAGTAAATTACAACTCTAGAACCGTGTTACGTATATAATGTATTTATTATTATTAATATTATCTATGTAGTTCTCAATTTGCATCGTCTAACTGACTTATTAAAAATGCAAGGACATTTACCCGCGAGGAAAACCGCACAGTACGAATCTAATATTAATATGAAGTAATTTCTTGTTAATATAATAAATAGCTTGGTGTGCACTAGGTTGTTAGGAGGATTTCTAAGAAAGCATTGAATTATAAGTGTATTAAATAAAGTTTTTCAATTCAATTCAATTTTCTTGTTAATGGCTTCAAAGTTACAGTTTTATCATCATCAGAAAATATGTTGTTCATTTTTAATCTATGTTTTTGTCAGTATTTCTAAGAATGTTATGTTTCAAAAATGACTTATTACTATTTGTGTAAAAGAATATTGTAATTGGATTTTGTGATTTTTCATTTACAGTAGTTGTACCGAGCAACTTAATCAGATATTTTAGGGTCGGTGTCAGAATCCCCCCCAACGTGCGTTCACCTTGTCGTGGTGGGGGGGGCTCAGTAGTGCCCGGTAATCCAACCGGGCGCGAAGCTAAGAAACGCACAGGGAGGTGGCCCTCTTCGGGGGGCGGTGTACCACGCGGGTTGCTCCTGGTACTTCTCTGATAGCAGAGTGGACCTTGGAGCAACCCCGTAGTTGTGGTGGTCTGCTTCGGCAGACCTGCCGTCGGGGCGTCGTAGTTAAATGCGTAAGCGATCCTGCGAGGCCCCATTAAGACGGGGGAAGGTTTTGTTGGGTTTTAGTGGGTAGTACTGGCTGTATTACGCCGGTGAGTCCCACACGTCGTGCGTAAATGCATATCCCAACGTTAAAAAAAAAGGGTCGGTGTCAGAAATAAAGTCAATGTTTTGTAGGTAATAATCCATATACTTACTTATATTATAAATGTGAAAGTGTGTTTGTTTGTCTTGCTTTCACGTCGATACGGAGTGACGGATTGACGTGATTTTTTGTGTGGAGATTGTTGCAGGGCTGGAAAGTAATATAGGCTACTTTTTGCTTTTAGGGAGATAATTTCATTCAGAAATACTTGAAACTTGGTATTAATGCTCTTCGATATAATTAAAAAGCATTTTTCGAAATTCATCCCATAAGAGGGTAAAATAGGGGATGAAAGTTTATATGAAGACTTTTTTGTAGTACTAATTTGTAAACTTTATTTACGTCTGGGAAGTGTTTAAAACCGCTAAATTCGTCTGGCGATTCGCAAATATTATTGAAAATTACGCAATAAATACGTGATTAAAATTTCAGATTGCCAAAAGTATGTTTTTTGGAATAAAAAAAAATGAGTCTTTGGAGAGGTCTGGCAATACTTTATAACCAACAAAAATGTCTGGGGTTCTTTTTTTTGAATTATATGAAAGCTAAATTAAAGGATTAAACAAAAATCAAGTTGCCAAAAATATGTTTTTTTGGATATATTTTTTGCAAATGTTGTATACTGCGCAGTAGCAAAATAACCGCTAAAGCTATACCAGACTCGCGGGAGTGGACTCGCCAATTCACGAAATTATATTTTTTCACAATTTCAACTTGCCAAAAGGACCTTCTCAAAATTCATCACGAGCTCTGGGGTTATGAAATGTCTTTAAAATCACATCGAAACATACGGGCCGTAACGAAATTGTCTATATCTTCTTACCTTAATAATTACAAAACTAATAGGGCAAAATACCCGTAATTGCCGTTCTCGCTCCTTTCTATAGCATATAATCCACGATTTTATTGATTTTATAGTATGAATATAGAATTTACTCCGACTGATTGATTCAAAAAAATACTTGTAAATTTAGACAAATTTACAGCAAATAATAACCAGGAAGTGTTTTAAAAATATAAATATTCGATATCTCGGCCTAAGCTCGTGCTGTAGCTAGGCCGGAAATATAAATAACGGGTGTCATAGGAAAGAGGAGGTTAGGGCTACACAAAGGTACCCCCCCAATGTCCTGTGCTGAGCGAGCTTAAGCGAAGCGAGAGTAAGTTGCTACTTGCTAGTTATACTCGTATATACAAATCGATATGTCCCTATATGGACATATCGATTTTTCCCTATGGACTCCAAAACGGCCAGATTGTGGTGAAATTTTTAGGTAATCTTCAGATTAGGCCAGCGGGGTGATCCTGTGAAGTTTGGTAGCGATAGGAAGGTTTGTACGCGGCGAAGCCGCGAGTGCTGCTAGTCTATATACTCGTATAAATATTAACACACACACACAAACACACGAGTATATATGTATATATAATCAGATTTATACAAAAACCCACTGATTTTATGCACATAACATCCACGACAACGGTATTACTTATCGCAGTATCATTAAGGTAATTATTTTTTTCCGTATTTTTACAATGGCTTGTTTCTTCGTTTTATTATTTGTCATCACATAAGATCACTTTAAATTATTATTTATTATTGTATATAAGGACAAAACAAAACATAAATGACAAGACTGTGTAAAGGGAGAGACAGAGATCGCTTTAGTCACGTCAATTGCTTATTGCGTGGAAGAAAGTCAAACCAACACACACATTTACAACTCGATTAATTCGCAGTCGGCTAAGTCCGTTTTAGCATACTTTTCGGGGAAGTGCTCCCCGAAAGGCTTGAATAAATGAAAGCAAAATGAAAATCCCTTTTTTAAATTATCCAAAAATGTATTATATTTAGATATATTATAAAGTATCTATTTATAATACTAGTCTCTATCTAGATAGCAAGGAATAATGCTAAAGATAGCACAGAATAAAGAATTATTCCCTTATATAGAACTATTATTAAATTTATGAATAAACATAATATCTAACTAAAGCATAAACAGCTAGCGATGCGATGAGGAAGGTTGCTAGAGCCTTCATTTTAATTATATTATGATACAAACTAGCAATTTAGTGAAGTTTCCTGTTGTATATCAAATATTGTGAATTATTTGTATTATTATACGCACATACATATCAAGTGTATGGTTTGGGGTATGGTCAAACCAAAATCCAATTAAATCAATTTCATTGGGGAAACAGACTATCATGATTTATTATAGATAGACTGCGCGCGCATTCAAATTATCTTATTCTCTTATCGCTTTGCTAATTAATATTAATAATTAATATATTGTATAGTTTTTTGTTATTTATATATAATACGAACCTAACGCATGTTTATTTTACATAGTCACAACTCGACACGACATTTCTAGAATATACTCATAGTTACGCTTACGCTTGAAGTGTGTGTTTGGTGTTTGTATTAGTACTGAAACATACTAGCTTTTGTCTATAGCACCGCCTGCACATTTTATTTATGTACCTACAATTGGCTCAGCCCTAAGGTTTCAAGGCTCTCTAAAAAAATTTCATACCAACTACATTATTTATTATAGAATATTCAGGTCTCTACATTAATAAAATAAAATGCCTTAATTTATTCTAGTTTCCAAGATTTTTTAATAAACATAAAAAATTGTATTATTATCGAATAATCGTGGTTTTATAGATAGGTGAACTGACTTTTACAGAGCTTTTACAAGGCATCAGGAATATTTTAAAACATAATCCCTAATTCTGTATTTTGGAAAATATTTTAGTTCAGTCAGACACCAGGAAGTTGACATACATTGTAGTGTTGTTAGTTGATATCCGGCGATTTAAAGATGGGTATTTTGGTCTTTTTTTGTCATATTGTCGGTGCCTTTTTTTAGTTCTTCTTTTTTTGCCGTAATTTTGATGTCAACAATTACCCTCTTGCATCCTGTTTAATATTTTGAAAGAACTTCAATGAAACATTTATTCTAAATAACCTTTAGGAGCCCATTTAAGTGAGTTTAATTTCTGATGTTATAATATTGTATAAATGTTGATTCTCACAAAAAAATATTGAGGTCTATACGAGTCAGCATGCCACCATTCTTATAGCCTCCTCGTCTCTACATATGAGATATTCCCATCTTCAAATTGTAATATAAATATAATTAGTGTAGTGGTAGTTTAAACTCTAACCTGGTGATAGTTGCATTTACCCGCCGCGCCGGATAAATCTGCTAATTTGGGTCTATGTCGGCGTCGGAGTAGTAAGTGCATCCGACTGTGTATATTGAAATTGCAACCATTTTATGTGGGACACTGTCGTGGATGTAAATCTTACTGGTTCTCTGACTGAAAGTGGGTATTAAATATTAATAGTATAAACTATTATACTATACGGGTATTACCAGCTACCACGCATTTATACAAATTCTGACTATAATATTCTTGCCTCTACTTTGAGTTCTATAAAAAACTGTTCAGAGCATTACCCATAATATTTGAGTTTTGAGTTTGATTAAGTATGAAGATGCAATCGAAATTATGCAAATTGATTACAAATTAGGTTAATCGATGCCATTATATTAGTGACCCTACATAATCTGGCTATGGAAATATAGCATCGGACGGCGAAAGTGATACAAGCGTCGGATAAACGCAGAATTCTAGGACATGTAGATGTACCAGGTTGGAGTGGTCGGTAGTCTACCACTTCTCGCGGCGCGGTCGCGGTTGGCCGCATCCGAGTAGCGACCAGTCTTCAGTCTCAGTGAGTGTGTGCCACGCGGTTGACCACTCCGTATTCTGCGCCGCCCGGACGTCGTAGGCGCACACGCAGCCCGAAACATTCACTATCAAAACGTTTTAATTGACATAGCATTACGGAAAAAGCGCGGCGAAACCTCATTTCTTTTTCGGTTTCGTTATTTTAGTGTAAAAGTGGTGTGTGCTCAGACTGAGCGAAAGCGGTCAAGCCTGCAATGTTCGCCAGAACGATTGTTTGTGTATGTGTTTTTTCTTCTGATGTGTTGCAATGAAAATTAGTGTTAAAGTGTCGAAATCTGGTTTATGAGGAGTTTAGTGAGTGCGCTCATGCCATTGTAAAAAAACGAGCACACGTGCTTATGTAAGCCTGAATCAGCGGATTGAACAAGTAAGTGCTGGCAGGCCGCAGCCCCTCCTTACGTTATGATAAATGAAAGTGTGTTATTATAAAAAAATCTTTCTGCCTCATTTAGAATAAACATATTTGCTACGATAATGTCCAAGACAAGTCCTTATGTTGGTTATAGAAGAAATTCTTCGATTTATAGATTTATAGATATAGGTAGGTACCTACTGTAGGTTTAGCATTACCCGGCAGTATGTATAACAGATAACTGTCTATACTATATTGAGAACACGGTCGTTCTATATTTGTAATATTTAGAAACAAGTTATTGATTTAGTTATTTGTTAAGTTTAATTTTAGATGCAACCTTACCATCTACATATACATAATATATTTATGTATTACATATATACATACCTGCTTACTAATAAATAAGAATTTATGTTTATGTAAGATATTTTGTAATATAAAAATGTTTTTAAGGAAAATGGCTAGTTATGCAATTTTCCTTTAAAGTTAATTATACTAAGCAGGTTATTCATTAATAATTCAATTAGGGATAAGATAAAAATAAAATAAAAATATCGATATTCTTTTTGTATCGTACAATATCTTAAATAGTGATATTTTTATCTGTTATAAAATATATAATATATAGTTAAAAATAATATACATCGTCATGTCCGAGATTACCTATATTAAAACTAAAATGTTGTTACGCACAAGTGGTGGCGATATTGTGAGCTGGCAATAAACAAATTATAATCGAAAAAAAAATGTACCTAATAAGCACATTGACGTGATATATAACTTAATACATAAAATCTTTAATCAACAATATCGCAATGGATTTTTTTACTTTATTTCTTCTACGATACGTCAATTTTGTTTTTTTTTTGCCTTTCAAGTTGAGGCACGTCATTGGTCTCGGATTTTGTAGTGTAAAAAATATAATTTACAATATTATATTATGTATGTATATACTTTGATGATACCTTTTGAATAAGGTTTTCTCCAGATTGTTTATTGCGAGGTAATGACACCATATCCGTTTGGTTACATGCCAGATATCGCGGGTTTCATTCCCGGGCACTGGCGTAGAAAAAATGTTGTATTGATTGACTGGCATGAAATATAGTTAAGCGCCAAGTGGCATGCTATCACATTATTTTGGCTTCTCCTGCATGGTTATATACCTACTTTTTTTTACCAAATTCATTACGAAAAAATTATATATTATTTTATATTTGATTTTAATATTCACTTAATATTTTATATGCGAACGTATTTTAATTGGTTTGTCCTTGTCCTCGTTTAATAGCATTGGTTAGCTTTTTTATTTCATAAAGTCCCTAGAAAACTTTCACAATTTTATAATATTACGGCTTTTGTTCGTGATTTCGAACGCATGATTTACAGAAACTCTAATATTTTTTTTGATGATTAGCACAAAATAAAGTTATCTCTTTAGTTTTATTATTTATTCGTACCTATCAATTTCTATAGTAGGTAGTTCATTGAAGTAGCAGACCAAATGGTTTCAAGGAATTTTTAATTAGGTAGATACAGTATTTAATCTCAAAAGTACGGCAATACTTATTACTTAGTATACGGCCTTAAATATATAAAAAATACATTCAGGGATAATAGACCTATTATATCTTTATTTCTGGAGATTACCTACATAAAAATAAAGACTATCTCTATCTTATTATTATTATAGATCTAGGTGGCAACTGGCAGAATTGTTTTTGTTGTTATACATAGATATAATAGAATGCTACCGGAGTCGAATCTGTAGATTAAATATGGCGGAGGAGGATTTAGTTACCTTTTTCTGTAAAAAACCTTATTATTTTTTACAGTCACTATGTTATTTAGTCTAGTTTTTATTGCTTATAAAGTGATATTGAACTTAGATCAGAGATTACGTATCGAGCGGGGTCGAGACACCATCATGATATATATTGGTAATACGTGGTTTAGAAACATTAGTTGATCATGGTGAATCATATAGAGTTGTGTTTCGATATTGAATATGGAAGTATGATCGGTGCCTGTGAACCCGCTGCTCCACAAAATTATTAGAATTACCGTTTCAAGTTTATAACATTGTGATTTCCCTCATTAAATTGTAATGGAGCATAGAGATTAGACAAGTCTTTATTATTTGAGCCCTGATAACGCCCACAAGATTAGTAACCACTAAAGATGATGTTCGTAGTATACGAATAACACGATAAATATTTTTTGGAAAATCTTATTGAAGTAGTCATTTTTATCGATACAGAGGCCGAATCTATAGTTTTTAGAATTTTTGTCTGTGTCTGTCTGGGAACACATCACGAAACCACTGGTTAAATTTTGATGTTGGGTATGATGATAGTTCGTTATCCGGGTCAACATCTATATATATATCTATACTAATATTATAAATGAAAGTTTGTCAGTATGGATGTTTGTTACTCTTTCACGTCAGAACGGCCGAACGAATCTGGATGAAATAGATTATTGTCTGAAATAACACATCTAAGGCTACTTTTTATCCCTGAAAAATGTACGATTCCCGTGGGATAGGTTTGTCTTTGTTTTCATAATTTTTACTGCGGGAAAATATCTTATCTCTGAGAAATCTATACTTAAATTTAAAACGTAACCAGGTACGAACCTGAGCGGAGCGAGGGTGAGTCATTAGTCTATATTAATATTATAAAGAGGTAAAGTGTGTGAGTTTGTGAATTGTGAGTGTGACGTGTTAGGAGGTAATCTCTAGATCTATGTAACCGATTTAGATAAAATTTGATAAGAAGATAGCTTGAGACCCTGAGAAAGACTTTTTATCCCGAAAATTATCCCTTAAGGGGGTGAAAATGGGGATGAAAGTTTGTATAGGGAATCAACCTAAGGGTGAACCCGAGCGAAGCGAGGATGAGTCGCTAATTGTTACTTGTTAATAAACGAGACGACGTAAACACGTACGCGTCCTTGACTAAGTTAAAATGAATCTTGTCAAATATTTTTATCCGTTAACATATCAAAGTTTTAAGTGATACATACCTACTCGTACAAAACTTGATTAATTATTAACAGTTTACTTTTTTATACTAGAAAATATAAAAAATGTAAAATCATAACGAGCATGTATGAATAATTTTTAATCACGTAGATATTCATGGTCCATGGCGGCGATGGTAAGGTTAATAGGAATATGTCAGATCACAATATAACATGATGTTCTCCTAGCCGATTCCGGCCACGGCGGCCAATCTCAATGAGATTAGCCAACTGCGCAGGAGATATTATAGTGCTCAAGTGTACGCGCAGACACAAGTGCACTCTCTATTCCTATCACTCTCACACTCCGGTGGGACGACCACTCGACACGACCGGTGAGAGTTAAGGCGCAGGACCGACGGCTTTACGTGCTCTCCGAGGCACGGGGGTGAAACACCGCCAACTTCCCAACTCCGGGCTGTTACTGAGACTTACTATACAGGAAGACTCAATAACTAAACTTGGCCCGACCCGGGACTCGAACCCAGGACCTCCGGGTGTGCAGCCGTACATGCTAGCCACTACACCACCGAGGCAGTATAACATATAATGTCTGTGTGTCAGATACCATCATTCAATGTTCTAATATAAAAACATTCAAGCAATTTATTAAAATTATTATTGTAGTTTAAATGTAAAAACAAGGCGTTATTAATTGATATTACTTAATACTTGGTTTGTAATTAGCACACTTTGACATTAATATTATTATAGTTATGTTAAAGATTCATTTGTAGATGTTCTGAATTATGTGACCATAAAATATGCTAAACTTATTAAAACTATCTTTTCGAATTATTTCGCGGAAATCACATGTTACTGAATGGTTTTTAATGAAACTTTACAAGCTCATACATCAGATTAACACATAGGCTACTTTTTATCTCGGAAAATGTACGGTTTCCGTGGGATACATTTGTTTTTGTTTTTCGAGAGGCGATCCCGATCCGAAGTGAGGGTGAACCGCTAGTCTTTAATAAATCTTGGACCTACAACAAAAGACAGCACAATTAATATATTCATAAAAACCTTAATTAGAGAAAAGTGGTTAGTAAACTTTACTTATTTTACATCAAATGTTAGTCTATAATCTAATTGCATTACACTTAATATATTTAAATAAAAATTTACACAGATGACTTAACACAAACATTAATAAACAATGGGACGGGGAACTTTTAGTGGAAAGATAAATAGGATAAAAGAGTCTAGGACAGGTGAAAAGAATATGAGAGGGCCTTCGTCAAGGCCACATTCACACAGGGAATAGTCCCTGACCCTGATCTTCGTTAGGTGAACAGGTGTAGATGCGTGTTCAAGGCGCAGACGAATCATATATTATTATTTATTATGTCATGATGTTCTCCTGACCGATTCCGGCCACGGCGGTCAATCTCATTGAGACTAGCCATCTGCGCAGGAGATGTTATAGTGCAGCGCGTGTACGCGCAGACACAACGTGCACTCTCTATTCCTGTCACTCTCATACTCTGGTGGGATTATGCATATACGTATTATAAGTATATAAAATAAAATGACGTTAAGTGCAACAAAAAACTCGACTTGTCAGTCTATGGACGCGTAATGTGTATAAAGATAAGATAAATCCTGGATCCGGGCGAGTCATAGTATCGCGTCCGCTTCTTTGACCGTATTGTGATGTGAGCCGCATCGGGTCATGTG